AAAATTAATAGATGAAAGTGTAGTAAATGTAACTAGTCATAAACATAAATCAATGGCAAAAAAATAAAGAGTTGAAAACATAAACTTGGCAAAACGTAAATCGTGACAAAAAAATTAACAACTGTTGTAGAATTCTAGAAATGTAAATGTAGCAGAAATATGTAAATTGGAAAAAATCTATAAAGTGTAGTAGATTAAAATCTAACCAAACTATGAAATGGCAACAAGAAAGTAAAAAGGCTTCAAAATTAAGTGGAATTGCTAACAAACCTAAATTGAAATTGAATAGTTAGCTAATGAAATGTCAAGCAAAAGCAAAAAATAAAATAAGATGCCATAGAGACTAATTTATCAAAAACTAAATCAACAATGCAAAGGATTCTGTTGGAAAAAGTTGTTGTACTCCCACCTGACTATGAATTCAAAGTAGACTTATTAAAAGTAACTATAAACTAAAGGATATTAAGTAGACTAGGCTAAGACATGATTATGAAAGTATAGGATTTCTATATAAAAATGATTTGTCGAGAAGGGGAAGACCTAAAAACTAAAAAATGTATTAAAATATTGTATTTAGAGGCATCCACAACAGAAGTTACTCCCCAAAATATGATCTTAAATCTCTCCAACTTCCGTGTCTGAATAGGATATTAACAACTCCCAAATTCAGAAATTCTATTAGCAAAACGAACTTTGTTACATGCTAATTGGTTGCCAGATATCCTTGAGATCTTGCATGTTGAAACCACTTGAACCAACCCATGATTTTCTTCACCGACTCAAGCATCAATTTTTTTTTTTGTTTAATAGATACAATTTAAGGGCAGGAGGATAAGAAATTTTTAATATAACGGTAACATAACTTAAATCTTAATTATTATTAAAGTATTGGATGTACCTATGTTTCTTCAAAAATCCTCAAGTGGCTTCACACGTGCGAAATTTGGATGTAAGCATGCCACCTACTTTTCGAAAAAGCAAGAAAAAAGGATTTTCTCAATAACTCTCTCCTTCCACGCGGTCGACTTCCGTTAGGATGGCTAGAAGAACGTTAGTTTAAAACTGAGTTTTGCGCCCTTCAAATGATTTGCAAGAGGGAGGGATGTCTTCCTACAGAATGAGTTGCTAATCTGTCTTGGACAATCTCAAGAACTTTACTACTACCGTGAATTTAAGTTAATAGATCCAAAATGAACTAAATGAGATGTGAATTAAAATAAACTTGATGTTTATTGCATGAAAGGAAATCAGAGAAGCAATTACACAGATTAATTTGAGTACTTGAATGTTGAAAACAACTTAAATTTATTGGGAATTGTGTTGAAACTAAAATATGAAAGTTAAGATGAGCAATCACTATGAAACTAAAGAATTGAAAAACTAATGAGTTTCTGTGTAGGGCTGACCATGTATTTTGAAGAAATCAAAGAGCTTCTATTTATATGCATCTTGCGAGCTGTCTTTTGGCTGATAAGATCACAAATAACCTCCTCCCAAATTCTAGGGACTGCTGTTCCTTTTAAATTTAACCTGCAACAAACTGGATAACCTTTATCCTCCCAACCAACTTTACAGATATGCATCCCTTTAGTAGATTTGATTTCATCTTATCCATTGACATGTGATATTATTAAAAAAAATGCAATTTATGGTGTAAACAATGCCCCCCCAATACTTGATTTTATGAAAATAAATTCAAGTGTTTATAATTAAATAAATTGCATGCAAACTCCAGCCACCAATGCCACATGTCAAACAACTCTAAGGTCTAAAAGAAGAGATGTCAAACCAAGCTCGCAAAACCAAACAAATAGATTTTCCTTAAAGCAGAGACAGAAAAGAGCTTGGCAGAACAACGTAGCAAACTTCCCACAAATATAGAGGTAGACTTGAATGTAGCTTCCAAAATCAAATATCAGTTTTCCTTTCTCATAGCCTTTGTTGCATACTTGATCTAAAACTAGTTGAAGTTAGACACAGCCTTAATTTAATCGCCATGATTGCTCACGATGAAATTTGGCTAGCTTACAAATTCATATCAGCACTTTGTTGAATACTAAAAAAATGCTTAATTGGAAAAAGAAAATATTATGCAATTTCATCCAAATCTAACTCAGTTAGAATTCGAAATATTTAGATTTACCTCCAACGGATCTTGTACTTCTGCTTTCAGATTGTCAAGTTTGGCTTGAACTAGATCCAACTCCTCCATAGTAACCTCATCTGTCAAATTTTCCTCTTCACCTTCGTGGACGAGCTCATATCTGTCTACATTGATCCACTTTTCTACAAGATAGGCCACTAATTTCCTTTTGATTTCTTCCACAACCTTCTTCTTCTGGCGATTGATTCGTTGTCTCTTCATGGAACTTCTTCAATTTCTGGATTTTCCCTCAGCCTAAAGGAACAATTATTGTAGGCTGACGGAGTTCATCACAAACCTTCTTCATTTTCTGGATTTTCCCTCAGCCTAAAGGAACAATTATTGTAGGCTGACGGAGTTCATCACAAACCTTCTTCATTATGCGACTAGTGAGTGCTAATCTAGTACTGGCAGTAATTCTAGCTAGTCTGCCATTACAGTCCATCCCAAAGAAGTGAATGGTCCCAATTTTTTCGTCATAGTAATGAGCTTCCACCAAATTGATGTTAGCCACAAAAGGTTTATCATCAGCTTTCACAACCTTAGATTTGCCACCATTCTAGAATATCAATTTCTGGTGCAAAGTTGAAGGAACACACTAGTTAGAATGGATCCAGTCTCTCCCAAGTAATGCATTATGAGTGGCTACAATGTCAATCACAAAGAATGCACACATGAGAGTTTTGTTTCTCACAGTAAGCTCCACTGGTAGAATTCCCCTTGATCGATTTACTCCATCTGTGAAGTCACTAATCGTCACTTTTGTCTCCATCAAATCTTTCAAAGATTTGCCAATTTTGTGTAACATACAAGTTGGCAACACGTTGACAGCAGTACTATTGTCCACCAGAACTCGATTAACTGGCATACCATCCATGTGAGCATGAATGTATAATGGCCTTATGTGTCTGGCCATCCCTTTTCTGGCTTCTCAAAAATAATTTTTTCTGTTGAAATTTCGTTCTTATCCTACTTTGCAAAGATCTTAATAATTTCTTCTTCGGCCTGATCTGCTTGTTAATAATCTGTAGATTTTGGTTCTCCTTTGGCTTGGAAGACTAGAGGAAAGGTAAGCACCAAACAAGACAAATTCATAGAAAACTCACCAAATTGGATGGTTTCTTGCTTTGCTGAATTCTCCATTTCTTCTACTACTTTGAACGTTACTTTCAGGCTAGTTTCTTTAGTTGTCTCCACAGTCAGGACTTTGGGGGAAGTAAGACTTCTAGGCTATTTTTCATCCATTATGCCTCCCAAGTTCTCCATCTGCTACCGACGCCTCTTTTCTGCTCTCTTGCATTGTAAATGTCGCCTCAAAGTTCTGGGATTCTAAGCCTTAGGAAACTTTGGGTGAACCACTCGATCCCATTTCTGGCTAGGAGATTTGAGCGGTGGTTTCACCATTATGGATCACCCTTCATAGCCAGATTTCATAGCACTCTAACTTGGACCAGTTTTTTGCTACTTCGGATCATGCCCCCTGAGCCTTGTTTCTCGTGGAGGATTTGATCTAACCTGATCTTTGCAAATTTTGGCCTCCTTAATGACCCATCTCAAGTCATCAACTGCAAGTCTATGCTTGGAGTATGATTGATTTCTGTCCTTGATAAGGCTTCGAAGATCTGCCATGTTCACTTTGACAGACTAGTCAGGGAATGGGTCTGCATCAACTCCCATTGTTTCCTTGGCATTTTCTAGAAATCGCAGAATCCCTCTATCGATCTTTTCTTGCAACTGTTGTTGATTTCCTAGATCTTCCAGACGTGGTGCAACCTTTACTGGTTTTGGCTGCATTGGCCCACCAATTGTCGGTTGGCTTTGTAGAGGCAAATGTGGTTGATTGACTTGCCCCTAAGTGTTGGAGCCATAATATTTTGATTCTGTCTTTGAAAACCTGCTACTTGTGGTTGAGCTTCAATTCTAGCATGTCGAAATACTTCCTGCATTCGCTCTATTTCAGCTTGAAATGCTCTTTAATTTTCTACATTTTGCCCACGCCAAATTCTTGCACTTTTTTTATTAGAACGCCGCATGTCAGCTAAACTTTGGATCAAATTCTAAAGAGATTCATCTAATCGTCTAGCAATCTCTTGACTTCTTTATTGAACTCTTTCCTCAAATTCCAACATAGCGTTCATAAGGGAGTCACCAGATTGAGCAACATCATCTTCAGATTCACTATCCTTGTTGAAGGTTGGATTGACAAAGGAATGCTCCCCAAGTATTGGTGACAATGGTGGTGGAATGATTGGCTCATGCTCTTTTTTTGAATGTGCTGGGCTACCTTCACCGACCCCAATCTGTAAAGTTTGGGCAGCCTTCCCCATGTTTGTTTTTGGTGGCCTAATTACACCTTTTCTTGGAAAAAGGAATAACTGATCTAAAAACTATAAGTAAGACACGGTGATGTCCCACTGGCATGCCACAAAAGGATTGTTTGCTCAAAAATCCTTAAGTGGCTTCCCACGTGCGGAATCTGGATGCAAGCATGCCACTTACTTTTCTGAAAAGTAAGAAAAAAGGATTTTCCCAATGACCCCCTCTTTCCATGTGGTCGACCTCCGTTAGGATGGCTGGAATAATGTTGGTTTACGACTAAGTTTTGCGCCCTTCAGACGATTTGCAAGAAGGAGGGATGCCTTCCTACAGAATGAGTTGCTAATCTGCCTTGGACAATTTCAAGGATTTTACCACTACAGTGAATTTAAGTTAATAAATCCAAAATGAACTAAATGAGATGTGAATTAAAATAAACTTGATGTTTATTACATGAAAGGAAATCAGAGAAGTAATTACACAGACTAATTTAGGTACTTGAATGCTGAAAACAACTTAAATTTACTGGGATCTGTGCTAAAATTGAAACATGAAAGTTAAAATAAGCAATCACTACGAAACTAAAGAATTGAAAAACTAATGAGTTTCTGTGTAGGGTTAGCCATGTGTTTTGAAAAAATCAGAAAGCTTTTATTTATATGCATGTTGTGAGCTGTCTCTTGATTGATAAGATCACAAATAACCTCATCCCAAATTCTAAGGATTACTGTTCCTTTTAAATTTAAACTGCAACAAATTAGATAACCTTTATCTTTCTAACCAACTTTATACATATGCATCCCTTTAGTAGATTTGATCTCATCTTATTTATTGACATGTGGCATTATTAAAAAAAAATGTAATTTATGGTATAAACAACCTAAGAACTGATTCAGAAGGTTGATGCAAGCATCATTTGTTTCAATTTTGATTTTCAAAACATGCAAATCCCAACCGCACCAAAGAAGAAGGAAACTATTTGAATTGAAACAAAATACTACCCTCAAATCCGTAAGCATCCAAAACATC